CTTTATTTATTTATTATATACTCGTATGAGTGCCACTGCTAACTTAACATAAGACCAAAGGCAAAGGCAAGGGAAGTTATATAAAGAGTAAAGGTAGAGGTGAAGGCCAAGCTGGAGATGGCCGTCCGTATTAGCGGTTGCAAGCTGATTCCTCAATACGAGCGAAGGTCGATGAGGGAGCTTCCTAGGGGAACGACAGGCGGCCCTCTTAGGGGTGCAGACCAAAATCGCATCGGAGGACATGCCCGTGGTGATTGGCACGGGTTTTCCTTTGGCGCAGTTGGCCCGGAACGTCTACCAACATAGCACGGAGAGCGCTATCAATGAAGAGCGCACGATGAGAGTCGCATCAATGCGAATGGATGGGGTTCCATTTCTCTAGTTCCGACCTCTTTCGCACGGTTTCAAGAATTTGATGTTTTTGTTTCTACCGCTTCTTACCTACTTCAAAGAACTTATGGGTGTTTGAACGTTGAAAATTCGCGTTCTAGGTAGAATGGCCTAAAAAATCCATAGAGGGAAAAAATGGAACAATAGAATTTTTCGAAATAGTGGTCCTTCCATAAAATTTTAGCATTTATTCGAAAGCTCTAATTCTCTAGTTTCCTAATTAGCCTTAGACATCTGCAAAAAGTTGATTATGAAGAAAGTTATGAACGTTTGAATGTCGAAAACTCGCGCCTTCTCAAAAATCGGACCACAAACCCCCAAAAACGGAACAACGGGACTATTTTTTGAGAGAGTGATTTTGGAAAATTTTCAGGTGCTTGTTTGAAAGCGCTAATCTTCTAGTTTCTAATTAGCCTTAGACATCTGCAAAAAGTTGATTATGAAGAAAGTTATGAATGTTTGAATGTCGAAAACTCGCGTGTGCACAAAAACGGAACAACGGGACGATTTTTTTCGAAATACTGAACATCCACAAACATTTCAAATACTCCTCAGGAAGAAAACTATTATATTTTTGTTCGTTAGTTTGCTATTCTGCAGTTTTCAAATCTTCCACTATCACTATTTCACAATCCGCAAATGCGAAACTATAACTTTCAACACAAGCTCCGCATCACATCCATGCTACTTCAGTGTTCACATTTTTCACCTCATAAAAAATCGACTGAAGGTTGTGGGAAATTAGGAGATTTTCTAGGTAAAAATCTTTGTCGATCTGAAATTTTGCCTGAGTCACTTCGAAATGCTCGGGAGTTCCTGCAGTCATGGCTGCCCCTCGAGTCCGTTCTCGCGAAAACAAAGCGCGAGCAAACCTATAACGCTTCCACTGCTCACCTCCTCTTCCATTGGATGACGCCCCATAATACAATCCGTTGGTTGTAAAATAGATGCAACAGAGACTAATGACTGACCAGTGGGAATCCTAATGAAAACACCAAGGCATCGATAAGGGGTGAGAGGGTCGTAAAAACATTGAAATGCGCAACGCACGGGTAACTCTGCCGCTAACCCTTCCTTATAGCCGTGCAACGGCCCCTGTCAGGTACCACAGAAAACCGGTCCCATAAAACTCAGAAGTGAATAGTCCGCAACTCATCGAAGCCACTGTGCAACGATGGAGTACCTGAAACCATTCATCGATTACGATCCACAAAAAGACCAATAGGAAGTGTGATACTGGATCGAATCGTCTGACGTTTAACCTGCAAACGCGCCATGCTAACGGGAAAGCAATATCAAGTCACCTCCTACTGTAATTGAAACAAGCACTTGAAAAACTTTCATATCTTTGGCATCACATACCATCGCTTGGCTGAATTACAACAAAGCATATCGGAGATCAGCTTAATTACTTACGAGAAGCTACTATCGTTGAAATCTGTAAGTGGAGGTGTCAAGTGGTGTGTTTCTAGAAAAAAATGGAAAGGTGAAAAATCTGAGAAATAGTCCAACATTGATTTCCTGAGTGGACGACTTCGGCCTTCACACAAAAGTCTTTCGGGTGAGGTTTAGCGGTGGCATCATGCCAACGACGATGTGCAAGCAATTGCTACTTCGATGGCCGCTGTGACAGCGCATTCAGAAAATAAGGTCGAGCTGTGGCGCAATGGTCTCTTCTCAAGCACATTGGCGTAAGCATTCTATCCACGTGCCAGCGGTGGGCGGTTGAGAACGGGAGGGGCCTTGAGGTTGTTCTGTCGCCTTATCACACTGCTGTAGCCAGCCTTCTGCCACTAAGCGCTGCCTATCGGAATTGGACCCTCCTCGTTCCTCTTCCCAAC